TTTGGGGGAGGGGAGGAGGTCTGAACCCGGCTCTCCCAGATCCTCCCACGCTCAGTTCTCATTCCTCCTGCATTTCCCACAGAAGTGACAGGGTTGAGGGGAACGCCTGATGAAGAGGCTAGGGGGTGCTTTTTGCCCTCCCGCAACCCCTTTTCCTTCATGGGTGGAGGACAGGTGGAGGGGAGAGGGGAGGTTGCATCCCCCACCCACCCCAACACTTACTCTGCCTCCTGTCTCTGCAGCTGTTCAGACACATGATGATGACATCAGCGCCCCTTTTTCCTGTTGCTCCTCCACTTCCTTCCAAAACCGGGACATCTTTCCCCTCAGAGCAGCATGCAGAAGACAGCCCAGTTGTCTCCCAATCTATGCACCAACCCTCCTTCTCCTCCCTTGTCAGCCCCATCCCTTCATCAGCAAATCGCCATTCTGCACACTCACTCTCACCCACCCCCCTATGGTTGCCATTTGAAAAAATATGAAGCCAGTTGGTGCGGCAGTGCTAGCAACTCAGCTCCACCCCCACCCCCCCACATAGTGGCTTCACCAGTCCTCATTGAGCTGTGGTCGGAGGAGGTGGGAGGGGAAAACACCATGCCTCCTTTCTCCATCTTCACTGCCATCCCCCCTTTTCTACCTCAGCTTCCTACCCCCGCCTGCTAGCCATTTACTTTCTATTTCTTGGCAGCTTCAACCACACCTCACTTCATGCACTTGCTCACTCCTCCAAGTAGCCTCCTGCTTTCCTTCCCTCTCACCAGTTGATTGGAGGCCGGATAAAAGCCCTGCATGGGCCAGTTCCAGCCCATGGGCCATATGTTTGACACCCTTGCCCTAGAACATACCTTAAAATTTTCCTTTGACTGTATGCAGCAGGCAAAGATTAGCAAGGATTGGGCAAGCTGACTTTTATGGAGTTGTGGACTTCACTGAACTTCTTGAGGAACTCTGATAAGCTTCTGGGAAATGCAAGGATTCCATAGAACAGTTGCCTGCTATAGCCTTGGTCTTGCAGAGCTCCACATGTGTCCTTTCTGTGTACACACTGAAAATTACCGGTTGATCTATAACACCATCCTGCATGGTTTTTGCTTGCATCTTAAATTTTGTTGGCTATGGCAAGAAGGAATCTTTTGCATGCATGAGGAACCCATAGGTATGCTTTAATGTAAACACTGTAACAGTAGGACCTCAGTCTACCTGCGCTGAGTGATGGTAGGTCTATTTTTATTCAGGATGCTTTGCTCTTCAAAGTAGTTTCTGCTAGATGACACTGCACACGGCACATTAGGTTATAAATACCCATCTAAAACATTCTGATGAGTAAAATAAAGTCCATCCATTTCATACTGAAAAGTAGATAAGTAGCCTCTGCAGATTGTTTTCCCTGGCAACAAATGAGAGAACACACAGACTTGGTTGACAGGATTGCCTGCTTTGCCTTGTGTCCTTAAAGCACCAGAACATGTCTACTTCATGCTGTGTCTTTCTTGTGTCCTTGAATGGCTTGGGGAAGTGCTCTTTGACTTAGAATCTGGGAGTTCTGCCCATGTGAGCTGCAGAGATCAGCAAATGATTAAGTCAGTGTGAAAAGGAAGGTTTTTTCCCTTTTTCCTTGGCCTGTGAAAGATGTTTACAGTGTGGGTTAACATTTCACAGCCAGGTCAATACAGTTGTTCTTAGAGAAGCTTCTGGCACAAGTGGATGAAAACCACCAATGACAACAGTTGAGTTTCCATTTCAGAGCAGGAATTGATGAAGACAATACTTTCTGGGACGTAACTGGGAAAGTACTGCCAGTTGATGTAGCAGGTCGCTTGGTTCCACTTAACTACTAAGTTATGCATTGGACAAAATGCTGTGCTATTGCTGGTCAACACAATAGCCATCATCCTTGTTCAGGCAAATATATATTGCATTCTGAAAGTGTGTCTCTTTGAAAGGGTCAGAGTTGTACTTGGAACAGAGTTGCAAGTTAAATTGCTATGAGCTAAGAGTACAAAGGAGATATCCCTGGAAGAAGTTTCCTGTAGAAGGCAGTTACGAAGGGAGTTGCCTTGTGTGCTTTGAGAAGACCTGAGAATAGGAAGAGATTGAGGAATGGCAGCACGTGGAAGCGAATAATTGGAAAATGCCTTTTGTGATCTGTTACAGATTGGATAATTTTAGCTTACTATTTTCATTTAAAAACATGCTCTGTCCTTACTGAGTATAATAAATCAATGGAAATTAAAGGGGGGGCAGAACGGTATGAGGAACTAGTGTGCTCACTGTATTGTGGGAGTCATGGAATGTGACTGTTCAGGCACTAATAACTTGTATTGTCCTTGGGGGTGATATGGGGAGGAAGGACAAATGTATCCTGCCAGTCCTGGGTGGATGTGTGAGTTTGAATGATTATTAAGGCAGACCATTGGCCTAGCTAATGCTTTGACTGGCAGTAGCTGTCCAGGGTCCCTTGCAGGAAGAGGTCATGCTGTCTGCCCGTCTTGAGATCCTTTAGAGATGCCAGTGTTTGATCCTTTTGAATCAAAACAGGTACTCTTCTACTGAGCCACAGTTTATTACCTCAAGCCTTAGCTGTGAGGATAAGGGCTGCGATTACCTGGAAGCTAATAGAGCCCTAGTGCGGATAACTTTTATTTATTTTACAAAAGCTCTGTCCTCATAAGGGCCACAAAGGTGGCTACCAAATTATAAACCTACACAGTAAAATCACCTTAAAACCATTAAAACCAACAGAGGATAAAGGTAAAGGTTTCCCTTGCTCGAAAGCTAGTTGAATCCGACTCTAGGGGGCGGTGCTCATCTCCGTTTCCAAGCTGAAGAGCCAGTGCTGTCTGAAAACATTTCCATGGTCATGTGACCGGCATGAGTAAACGCCAAGGCACACAGAATGCTGTTTGCTTCCCACCGAAGCGGTACCTATTTATCTACTTGCAATTTCTTGCTTTTGAACTGCTAGGTTGGCAGGAGCTGGGGCTAGAGATGGGAGCTCACTCCATCATGCAGCACTTGGGTCTTGAACTACTGAACTACAGACCTTCCGGTCTGCAGCTCAGCAACTTAACCTCTGAGCCACCACTTTACCCCAACAGAAGCACATCATTAAAATGAACGCAAAAGTGCATACAAAAACATATAAACAACAATTAAAGCGTTGGGCAGGAAGGATTACTATGGGAACACCAAACAAGTCTTCATCCACTGGCGGAAGATGACAACAGAAGGGGATAGATGAGTCTCCTTGAGGTAGAGTTCCAGAGTTTGGGTACTGTGACTAGGTTGCCACCAGCCTAATCTTAAAATGAAGACACACCTGAAACAGACTCTCAGAGAATGACCATAGTGGTCAGGGAGGTTCATAAGTAAGTAGGTGGTCCTTCAGGTACATTGGTCTCAAACTTTATAGGGCTTTAAATTTCAATACCAACTAGAACTGTAAGCTGTGAATCCTTAACAGCTTTTTCAGAAAGTTAGAATTGATGGTGTAATTAGGGTTGAAGGTTATTTGCTATGAGGCCCTCATTTATAACCCAATAGTTTATCCCAACTATTTTGTACAGCATAGTTGGTGGCAATGTACACTTCAGGTCTAGATAATGAGCTTCCTGTTCACTCTTCCCAAATCACAGCTGTCAGGGGTGTTGTGATAATCGCTGAAGTTCAGGACTGAGTGCTGCAGGTAGCTATTCTATGCTTGGGACTCAGCAGCACTGCATTGTGATGATACAGTGTGGAAAGTGGGATGGTTTTCTAATCTATCCTGCCTCTTCCACCACCCCTGTTCCTTCTCACAGCAGCCCATCTTTCATTCTCAGATATCAATTTCCAGAATTTATTTAAGTGAACATAAGCAGGGAGAGAGGAAGATCTCTATTTTGAGTTCTATATCTCTAGCAAATTAATGATTGATTGCGTGTTAATATGTAGAACATGAGATATTACCAGCACTGAACTTTTAAGCAATTCTTTAAAAACTAATGTACTGCGTAGTCAATCACATTATTCCACATCCAAGTCAATTTCCTTTGAAGCATTTGATCAAGGTAAATCAGCCAAATTATCCATGATGATTTCCATCAAGACCAATCTCAAAGTTCTTTAAGTCTCTTCTAATGGTTGACAATTATACTTGTTCCATTTATATATTTTATAAATGCAGATCCACGTAGCTAACAGGAAATTTGTCTACTGATTAGAAGCTGGTGGTTGAGAGATATTAAGAGGCCCTTGTAACTCTGTGCTGTGATGATTTGTGTGTGGCTGTAGCTGATGCACTGTCATATCCTTGAAACCCTTTGCCAGAGGGCAGGTTTTGCCTTTGGCTTAGATTCTGAACATACCTAACACACTACTGGCTGAAACCAATAGTCCACAGGAAGGAATGAGGTCACATCCCTTAATTTAAGTAGCTATGCTCTTTTGTAATTCACAGGGATGATGTGTTAATGCCACAGCTTGGGGTTTTTTCTGCCTTGTTTCCTCTCATAGTAAGCAGTTCCTTTTAGGCAGACTTCTTTCTTTAGTGGATTTGTGGTCTCTCTCACTCCACATGGCTTATGAAGGATTTTGATTTATTTGTCCTAGCTGTCTCGTCTATTCTGACCGTCACTTCTGTGCAAGTTAAAAAAACAAAGTAACCAGAAGCATTTGTCTAGCAAAACTGGTTTACCTGAAGTCTCTTGAATGAAATCTCCAGACGAGGCAGTCTACCAGGCTTTTTTTCTTTAAAAACAAAGGTAACACAAATTGATGTGTTATGCTTTATGTGCAGTATACCTGAAAATTAGTTCAAGCAAGAACAAAGTCCTTCCATTTCCTCTTATGAGCTTCCTGACTCTTTCACAAAATCTCTCCCAACTTGTTCTGTCCCCCCCCACCACCACCACCCAGTACCCTATGGGAGGCAAGAGCTTATTTATTTGGGAACCCTTCAAATATCTTAATTTCCTTCCCAGTCTTTGACAATACCTAAACCTTTTTTCCTCTTGTTGTAGGTAACGAACTCCAACCAACCAAAACATTGGAGGGTGGAAAAGATTAGACTTCTGGTGACTAAAAGATGTGCCATGGAATGGTAGCGACAAAGTGCACCACGACTTCACTGCTTACCTTGTTCAGTCATGGGTTATTTTTTCCATTGGTCATCTTCAGTACTCCAGGGGTGGAAGGACTGGTCTCATGTAAGTAAAGCTCTTTTTACCTGGTTGAGGGACAAGTAAGAATAACTGTTTTCACAGATAGGTTCCATTTGAGTAGTTTTGTTACATAACATTTTAATAGAAAGAACTATTAAACCTGCATTCCTTGGATGTGTGGGCTTAGAAGGTTAAGATAATCCACATACACCCCAATTTTTTGCCACACAGGATATTTGGAATGTGAGTAATTAATTCCAAGATAAACATAAAAACTTTTAATTTTTATTTTTCATATATAAATTATTGAATAATTATATTTTATTCATTTTCTGGCCTTATAATCAACCTGCCTTGGCACTTACACATGTTCATATGTCATAGTGTGCATGTATATACAAAAAATTGACCACTGAGGAAGGCCTTTGAGGCCAAAACGTGTTTGGTTCTGTTTTAATGTGGTTCAAGGTTATCAACCTAGATATATTGATTATTGGTCCTGTTTTATTGGTCCAAGGCTTTTAACCTAGAAATATCGAAATGTATCAGGTTATATAGATTCAGGACTTCTTATTTCAGATATTTGCCACTTCCAAGGCAGATTGTGCCAATGTTTTAAAAGTTTAGTTTCAGTGCACTTTGTAATAAATACATATATTTTGTCTAATTTATTTCTCAAGGTATTTTTTTCTCTCACCCAAACTTTGGGTACCCAACTTCACAGATAGGTTCTTCATCACCAAATAATACATATTTTAAAAATTGCTTGATAACTTTAAAGGCTCTTGCTTGTTGTCATAAGAAGTGGGTCAAAAGAATTTAAGATTTCCAGCTTTCTGATGCATGCTTGTAAATGAAATGATGAGTCTGAGTTCTGGGCAGTAATAACTATATTTGGGTTAGGTAATTTATACAAATTTTGTGAGTGTGATAACACTCATGTAGAAAATAAAGGGAGGACACTGGGCATGTTCATGTTTAGTAACAGTCACAGTACTTCATACCAAATATGACAGCTTAGATATCTAGGGTTTGTAGGAGTTGGTTCCTGGTTCTGTCCTTTGGAGATACTTGCTAGTGTGACCAAGAAACAGAACCCAGAATTTGGTTGTATCAATCCTGGTTGGCTCCCATTAAACTTTGTGTGGCAAAGTAGATGGAGGCAGCACATGAGTTTGGCCACTCCCCAGTTTATTTTACAGGTTTTTACCCCAAAAGTATTTCCTTCCATGTGCTGCCATTTGTTTGGGGAAGATATAAAACACTGTTTCTAGACGCATCACTTTGGTGGGGCTGAAGAGGGGGGAAGAAATCTACACTGAATGCTAGCTCAGCCTTATTTTGCAGCCTTACATTCCAGTGCAGTACTTCTTCCTTGGCTCCAAACTGGTCTCATTATCCCTGTTGATAAATAACTGAAACATCCCTGAAATGTTCATAGTTAATGCAGCACCTGCAATTGAGACTGTTCTTTTCAGTGGCATGTAACAGATTATTCATCTATAAAACTATTTCTTGTCTAAGTGTGTTCCATGAAACAGCATTCACTTGGGTTGGTGCTAAAGAGGAACCATAGCTTTCCTGTGTTTTGGAGACAGAGGGCTACTTGCCTCCTGTAGTTCCTTCTTTCCTGTAGTTCCAGGCTTTGTCTTAGGGTCTGATAGGGTTTGCCTTAGGATTTGGTTTGGATAACTGTTCACTGGTTTTGTTTGGACAACTGTTTACTTGTTGTTGTATTCCAAACTGTAAAAGGTCTTTCTAGGGAAGAAAGTGATGATATGTTGGATCCCATGGAGTTCTGCAGGGTTTCCCTCTCCTGTTCCAACCCAAAATATCTCCTGAAATGCTCCTCCTGGAGGAAATGGAACAATTTGGCAAAAATGCCGCCCCCTTATGTCTGCAGAAATCTTCTGTGTAATCCAAGACATATGCTTCTCTTTGAAGGTGTTTTGTATTTGAATGGATGCAAGTGATGGCTGCAGTGGCATACTAAAGGTTCTAGGTGTCTTAACACCAAGTGTGCCTGTGGTGATGTCTTGCTTTTTATGTAATCTAGTAAGTCTGCTAAGGGTTTGTGAACCAGGTAAATACCTAGTTCAGACAGCATGCTTGGAAAACTGTACTTGTTTCTTCTGAGAAAAAATCTTTCTCTAGCTTTCCAAATTAAAAAGTGTTTGAGTACCTATTGGAGAAATTAGCATATGAGCACAAGGCCTTAATTCACAGCATTTCTTGTTTGTTGCTAGATATTTAGAATAAATGTATTCCTCCCTCATTTTAACATTTCTTTGGTGACAGTAGCAGAAAGCATGCTGAGGTTTTATGCGACGCAGAGGGAAAAGGGCACCTTCAGAAAGTTAAGTCTGGATAAAGTAGATGCTGGATATAATTTTAAGCCCTTGTTAAGCAAGCTAGCTAGCTTCTATTATGGCCACTAACACACCTGCTGTGGTGTCATCTTTACTAATACTAGTTTGTGCTGATCATGACTCACTACAATCTCCGAACTTCTAATGCCACTTCAAGTGTGTATCATCCAGCCAAACATCTGGCAGGAAGCTCCATGAATATTTCAGGCACCACAGTATGATCTTCTGAACAACTCATTATTGTTTATTATGGCATTCCCTGAAATAGAACTGTTGGACACATCATACACAACACTGCTTACTAAAGCTGTTCATCTGTAGTCCATTCTGTCGCATTCAAGGGGGCACCTATAGCTTTGTCCTGAACTACATGTTAAAAGTAGAGGGCGTTTCAAGGTTCTTCTGTCATCACAGAAGGTTATTTGGAGTGTAGAAAGCTGTGCAAAAGAGAATTCTGGGATATCTTTCAAACAGCTGCACCTAGGCTTAGAAGAAGGTCAAGTGCTCACCCTTCTTAAAATGGTGGAAGAAAGCTCTGGGAAAAGGCAAATATCTAAAAATGTGATTCAAACCCTGTGTTCACTGAGGCTGATACAAAGGAATTATTATTTTTTCCCTCTGCTCTTAACATCACTGCCCTGACCTGGGTAGTCCAGGTTAGCCTGATTTCATAAGATCTTGGAAACTAAGCAGGGCTGGTCTTGGTTAGTATTCATAGGAGAGACCACCAAGAAAGTCCAGGGTCACAACACAGAAGCAGGCAATGGTAAACTACCAGGCACCTCTGAATGTCTCTTGCCTTAAAAACCCTACGAGGTCACCATAAATTGGCTGTGTCTGGATGGCACTTTCCACCTCCACTTAGATCACTAAATATGATCTTTATCTTCTTGCCATGAGTAATATTAGAAGGGTCTCCTGAATAAGATCTTCGGAAGTGATTAACACTTGTTTTGCAATTCTGCTATGTGGCAGTCATCCCCCCAAATCCTGCCTCTCTAGGGCTCTGAACCAATCCTTGTGGTTATAGCCTCAGGCAAATCCAAGTAACTGTCAGACAATCAGAGCCCACAGAACTCCACTAGTTGGGATGTATATGTGTGAACAAGCCTCAGTTTTAAGGGGGGATGGAAAAAAGTCTTCCCTCAGACAGGGATTTGCAGCTCTGGATAAGAGCATCAGTTCAGCCAGGTTTTTTGTTTGGTATTTAAGGTAGTATTTGGAAAGGTTTAGGAAGGAAAAGGGAATACCTACGCCTTTGAAAAAGATCCGTTTTGGTAACCAGCCAGGTCCAGTAAACCTCCTAATCTGAGATAAACATTCTGGGAAAAGGGCTAGAAAAATCTAGCCTTAGTGTTTATTATAATTGGCCCAGTTACAAAGTATGAAATCCCTTTGGGAAGAGGTTGTAACTGCTGGGTCGCAGTTGAGTCACTTTTCCCATTTAAGCAGAAACTTTCCACACTTAATACGTACTGTGTTGAAAACCTATTTTTTTGCTGTTGAATAAAACGTGATTTGTCTTTTGTACGCCCAGTTAAATATTTATTGAAATGGGGACTAAATTTACCTCAGAAGTACATCTGATATTGTAAGAATATCTGAAGAAGAGATCTCTAAGGACTTGGAGTTTATACATTACCAACACATTATCATAAACTCATAGCGATTCTTTATGAATGTGAGTGGTTGGTTAGAGGGAGAGAGAGACAAGTGTGAAGGAGGGGCCATTAAGAAAGGATCTTGACAAGTGCAGAGGACCCTAAGGGGATTTAAAACAACATAATCCTAAACATAATAAAGCCTTGAGCTTACGGTCTAGTTGCCTCAGAGCTTCATCTTACTCAGCCTGCTTTTGTAACCTCCACATGGTGGACTGTATGGGTGGAGCTTACTGATAAGATGGCTGTGGCAGCTGTGTTAGTGCTTGCCAGCTATACCAAACTTTACTGTTGCAGAGTCATAGCGTGACTGACATTCCTTCTTGCATTTAGTCTCCTTAGCAGGGTTTGCATGATGTCTTCCTTTAAGCCCTCCACCCCATCCCACCCCAATAATGTCCAGAACAGTCGCCTTCAGGCTTCCAGCTGCCACTTACTTTGTGGAGCAGTGCAAAGTGTGAGTTGATTTGAAACTGAACTTAATCACCAAGGACAAAAACAGACTATAAGACAACTGATTGAAATCCAGTTTCCTATTATGAAGTGCATGCATTTCCTGAACAAGCTTAATAGGCTGCTGTAATGACTGAAAACATTATGGGTTGCAGTTACATAGTCTTCATGAAATCTCAAAACTTTAGTCTGTAGCCTTCAAACTGTATTTGCTTAGAGGCAGATTTCAGTTCAGTGTGTTCTCTGCACTCTTGCAGGAGTCTTAAGAGAACACTTATCTGAAGGCTATGGTCTAGTTACGTGAAATGGGAAGCAAATATGTCATCTGTAGAATCATAAATATAACTTCAAGAACTGGATGGGTTTTGGAGGGCATATAGTTAGGGATACAGGGTCACCTATATGGACCAGGGTGATCCTGGTACTTCACTGGATGGCATCTTCTAGATCCTGTGATGACTTGTTAGTTCTTGGGTCCAATAAGGCACCTACAGTAATAAGTACAAGATCTATTTTGCCACTCCCTATGGTTCTCCTTTGCATTTAAAAACACTCCATAAAT